GACCAGCACTACTCGTGGGAGATCCGTGCTTAGAAGAAGTTCTTTTCAACGGAAACAAGCTGTGTCAGCTACCATGTGCAAAGAAAGAGGTAGAGATGATCGGGAATATCCTCGATACCACCCCCCTCATCGGTCAAAAGGCAACTAAAGATGAAGTTTTAAAGCGACTCTCCACGGTCGCTTTGGTACACATCGCTGCACATGGTGCAATGGAAACAGGAGAAATTGCGTTGGCACCAAACCCTACTCGGGGAACCAATCAGCCTGAAGAGAAAGACTTTTTATTAACAATGACAGATGTTTCAAAAGCTCATCTACGGGCAAGACTGGTTGTGCTTAGTTGCTGCCATAGCGCTCATGGAGAAATAAAGGCAGAGGGAGCGGTTGGCATTGCACGAGCATTTTTAGGTGCTGGTGCTCGTTCCCTCCTGGTTTCCCTGTGGGCGATTGATGACGGGGCTACTTTCCAGTTCATGAAACATTTCTATGAAGAGCTTGTGAAAGGAAAGAGGGTCAGTGAAGCCCTTAACCAAGCCATGCGACGTATGAGAGAGTCCGAAACTTTCAAGGAAGTTAAGTACTGGGCGCCCTTTATTCTCATTGGAGATGATGTTACACTGGAACTGAACCGAACCGATGGCAACCAAATGCTGCCCAATCTAAATATTATTTCGAAGTCACTTTGTTCTTAAAATAACTTATCCCTAAATTGAGGAATATGTAATCAGTATTCATTTGATTAATTTCGATGAAATTCTTAGTGCTATTAGTCTTTTAATTTGTACTATTTATTGAGGGCCACGGGTTCTTCAGTATATTTCTTGCTTTGTGTAAGCCTTGTTAAATAAAGTTGATTATTATTATTATTATTATTATTATTATTATTATTATCATTATTGTTATTATACATTTTAAAAATAACGTGATAATCTCTAGATTAAGTTCCATGACTATCGATTGAAAGCTTGATCAATTGATCGATAGATTGATGGATTGATGGATCGGTGCATTTCTCTCTTATTTTTTTTTTTTCATTTCTGGTGCTTAAATCACGGTTTTATTAATTTTTATTCCATTTACTCGTAGTATGCGCTTTATTTTATTAAATAATTTCCCGGTCTGCTCGTGGCCTTAAACTTGGCTCTATAGTTGTTGTTGCTGTTTTTTCTTTTAATCTTAATTTATGTATTAGCTACATTTACGATATAAATGGTGAAAGCTTTTTGCAAAGGTACACAAGTCCATTGAATGAGGCGCTAACTGTCTTTTTCTAGGTCACTGGTGACGAAAAGGCTTGACACAAAAAAGATAAGAGTCGGACTAGTTAGTCTTTATATAAGATTATTGCAACACATTTCACAAATAGCATAAATAAACTTTAGATTAATTTCAAGGTTTAGCCCTTATTGAAGTTGAATACACCGATCAGACACTCCAGCGGTATTTAGCACCAAAGTGAGGCATTAGGGTCGAGTTTGATTCAAGCTCAAGAAGTGATACCCAAACATGTCAAATTTTAATAGTCATAAAAATACAGTAGATTCTGTGATTTTTACAGCGGAGGAGAAAGCCCAGCTACTGTGCGGAGACTTCCCGCGTCAAATAACGAAAGATAGACTAAAGCAGTGGCTGTCGTGTCGAAAAGGAACGGCGAAGGATGGAAGTGCGCGTTCCGACGCCACGAAGGCCGAACTCGCACAAAGGTAACTTAATTTATATAAAGACCTCTATTACCTACATATATCTCGGCAACAACTGTAAGCTAAACTTCTTTTCCGTTCTTTTAGGGTCGTCAGCTATATTAAGAATGGTTGGGAAAGAAATTTTACTGAGAAATGGAAGCACTTGGGATCAAAACAACCACACGAATTGATGGTCTCTACGACCACAGCAACAACCACAAACAATGCTGCTTGTATTGTTTCTTCGGACACAGTCTGGTTACCAATAACCCAAGCTAAGGATATTGTTCCTAATTTCACAATGCAGCATTTCTTAGCCTATTTCATAGAGAGCAAAGTCAAAGAAAACGAGTCAAACTAAGATTATAAGAATGTTAGTTCGATTGCATTTGGTTTGTTTCGACATGGACATATCCAGCAAATAGAAGTCGCTTGTGAGAATGATAAAGTCTACTTTAAGTGTTTTTGCCTACCTGAAATGAAGAAAAGTTTAAGGTAGAATGTAAAACTGACTTTATCCAACGATGAAGTGGTGTTTGCTAGCTGCCCTTGGCCAGCTGGTAAAGGTCCTCGAGGATCTTGCAAGCATATTGCTGCACTTTGCTATGCCCTGGAGGAATTTGTTAGACAGAAATGTTCTAGAGAATTTGAAACCTGTACTTAAAGACTCCAAACCTGGAATCAGCCACGTAAAAGAAAACTTCAACCCCAAAACGTATATGGAATAGATTTTTCGAGGAAAGTGTACAACAGAAAAGAAACACTGCTATAAGCCACTTAATGATCCCAGACGCCCATGTCACAGAACTAATAATGTTCAACAAGCCAACATGGAACTTCTTGAGCTTATTAAGAAAGTGAAATCTAACAGTGGGTTGTTCACATTACTCTCAAGTGAAAAGGCTCAACAAGAAAAGCCTGAGATAATATCTCCATTCAAGGTGCATCCAGTCTCACTTTATGATATACAGGACAGGGCTAGGAGAATAAAAGACAAACTAAGAGTAACTGATCAAGAAAGAGATAAAATAAAACAAACAACAAAGTCACAAAGTAAATGCCAGGAGTGGTTTGAGCACTGAAGAATAAGAATCACTGCGTCTAAATGCAAAAGAGCACTACTTAAGCCAACGACTAGTCTAACAAAGGCAATAAGAGATATCCTGAACTATAACAATCCATATTCAAGTAAATGCATGACTCAGGGATTGGAAGATGAGGCATCCATACTAAAAATGTATGAGGAGAAACTATGCTGCAAAGCTATGGATTCAGGCTTTGTAATTTCTCAAAGCCATCCTTTCCTAGGGGCCTCACCTGATGGAGAAGTAGATGGGGTCTGGTGGAGATCAAGAGAATATTTTCCAATGGGATTTCACTCAAAGAGGCAGTGCGTAGTCGTGGTATCTGTAAATATAGCAGTGATTGGCTAGTCATCAATCCATCTCACAAATTTTTCTACCAAGTACAGCTACAGATGTTTTGCACTGGGTGTATATGGACAGACCTTGTTTTATCAGATCTTGAGAACTGATCATCTTACATGTCAAGAGAAATGATCATTTTTTATCAGATGTCATCCCTAAACTGGAGAAGTTTTATGATTCACATATAGTTTTAGAGTTAGCATATCCAAGAATCTCTCTCAGGCTTCCCAGATTAAGTAAATTACTTGACAGACAAGTTTAAATAGATATTTTTCACAATTAATGCTACAATATGCCCTGGGATGATGAAAAGTATCATGAAATTGCGGTATCATTGAAACAAGTATTGTAAAATCAAGTTTCCACTGTATGAGGAAAATACTATTATACAGTATCATTGTAAGAAATACAGTACATTTGAATGAATCAATTCATATAACAAATATTTATTGAGGAAAAATGTTTACAAAATCATTGTCTGCTTACATCATGGCATTAGGAACAAAAGAAATTCCTAGAGTACATAATTACAAATTTCAATATTTTTGTACGGTGAATGCTGTAGAGTGACTGATTATTTTCACGTCACCATGCAAGAAAATAGAGCACCTGGTTAGTACATGTAAAATTAATCTAAAACAAAAGAAAACAATGGATTCAGAGTCTAAGCACTGACTATAAGTCTGCATAAATTTTCAAGGTCATATGCAAACAACTTTTTCATCCATCCACTAATGGTGGGAGATAATTTGACAACATAGCACATACAAAAAAAATCATGTCAATAACACCATTTCTATATAAGGTTATAGGTACAAAATCTAAAATGTGATAGTTTTTTATTCTCTCTATTACCCTTTCCACATGGATTCTAAGAGAGGCAATACGTCGAGTTGCCAATGGCTTGTTTTCTGTGAATTGTCCTGACTGGTTCATGAAGGGAGGAAGGTTAACACGGACGTCTTTAAATGCTAACATCTCTTGTATGTTAAAACCTCGATCGGCCATTATTACATCTCCTCTTTCAAGTTTGTCTATTAATCCTGACATTTGAGTTATCTCTTTGTCTGAAATGCTTCCACCATACAATGTTGAAACAAATGAAATCCCTCCTTTGGGTACAATGCCAACTAGGGCTTTAAGAGTGTTAGTGTTTTTATAAGATGAGAAAGTCAGTTGTTGGGCTTCTGGGTTACTAGGCTTCTCAATATATATCTCAGTAGCATCAAGTAGGAGAGTAGTTGATGAATATTTCTTCAAGAAACATTCGGGCATGTGTATTTTCACAATGTCCTTTGATGGGAAAATGTCTAACTCTTTAAACCTGAAATACATGAACTTGATCCATGTTGTCACTATTTGAGACACTACACTTTGACTAACTCCAAATCTTGTTGTTAAGTCTTCCTCTAGTAACCCAACTTTCAATCTGCACAAAACCATAAAGAATTCATTTTCAATTGATAATACTCCACTTGGTCCGCTTTTATACCTACTTTTCAAATCCTTTAGATCTTCAGTGTTGTGATAGTCTAGCATTGATGCAGCCTCTCTTCCTAGAAAGTCAAGTGCACTTGAAAACATTTCATCGTTTTCGAAGCCAGTGTAAAATCGTATCAGTTTATCATTTNAGCTCAACTTCAGCATGACGTATAAAAGTAGCGTTGAGTTCCAAATGGAAATTAAAATAATTTGCCGTCGCGGTTTCGGTTTGCAGACAACGCAAACTTTGGCGATTTCACGTTGTTATTTTGCATAGGACGGCTAAGAAATGTACAAATTTTCAAAACGCACGTGCTGAGCTATTGTTCTGCAGTGCACGTGCTGAGCTATTGTTTTTCCACGTCCTCGTTGCCGTCGCCGTCTTGGTTGCGTAAAGTCCCTATTAAGACAACGTGACTAAAATGAGTACGCGGACGTTTCCGCGAAAGTGGTAAGTGACATGTGTGTTCATTAAATGGCGTCGTTTAAAGAGACTAGAAACTTAGTTTTGGAGAATTTGGAATGTTATCTTGATGCAGTTATTGACGAAGGCGATTTTATGCTCCTCTATGACATTAATCAGTCAAAAAATCCAGAGCTTCCACACGAAAACTACGAACCCTTTAATTTCGATGCCTTGGACGCGGTGGAGTGTGTAGCTGACTTTCGTGTCGATTAAAAAAGATATTCCAAGGTTGGCTGATACATTGGGTATTCAATAATTTAATGACCGGGAGGGTATCCGTCCGGTCATTAAGTACCAGTAAATAAGTAAAGGAGTATATGTGATGGTGCTGAAGGACTGTGTATGCTTCTGCGACGGTTTGCTTATCCTTGCTGCCTCAGTGATATGATTGCACTATTTGGACGTCCTGTTCCAGTTATAAACATGATCACCTAAGAAGTTATGAATTTTATTTACAACAATCACCAACAGAGACTAACCCAGTGGAATCAATTCCTTTTACTTACAAATTATGCATTACATTCACGTACACTGAGTAGTTTACAACAGTTGTAAAAATGTAATTTGTGCAAATTATAATCTATTCTTGCGGTTGCAAGAAACAACTAGCGATTCCCAACTACGTACGCAATTGAGAAATTATTAAACAGGAACAACACTTTAAATGAACTGAAAGCCAGCCGAAAAACAATAAATATAGGAGACGTTACTTTGCGCATTTACTCGGTAGGTTACATAACTCGGAAGTTTCGTATGGATTAGCAAGAAAATTCGAAAAGCGCTAGTTACAATAATTTACAAAGGTTTCTTTCTCCTTTCAAAACTATATATCGCTTGTTTAAACTAAGACAACAGCCATTAAAACACTAAATGATAACTAGTCTATTTTGGTAATGCCTAAACATAAGAAAAATTAAGCAAATCTTGGAGGACAAGACGAAGGGCTACCGCTCGAAACGTCAGCTTTTTTATTCGTTACGGTGACCAATTGACAATTTCAACTTAGTTGATATAAGCAATTATCTTGGAGGACAAGAAGTGCTTTTCACGGATGAATTCTCCGCCATAATTTTTCGGCACGACTAAAAAGTAAATAAACAATGGGGATCCGTTTTCGCAATAATATTGAGTGACATTGCTTTATGTTGATAAACAACATTCGTTAGAATTGATCGTGGGTTTTCTCGAGTTTTTTTCTCACCTTAAGAAAACCGCTCTACTAACTATGAGAAAACTTACTATCGAAAAATACTGTCGTTTCGACGAAACGGGACTTGCCCCAGTTTGTCATCAACAGGGCTAAAGAAATGGGAGACAAAGCTAGCGAAGGACGGGCCCGTGTAAATCTTGGCAATGGCTATTTTAAGCTTGGCGAAGTTAAGAAAGCCATCGAGCACCATGAGCGTCATATGAAAATTGCTAAAAAAGTGGCAGACAAAGCTGGAGAGGGGCGGGCCTATGCAAACCTTGGTCATAGCTATCATTGCCTTGGAAATGATGACAAGGCTATCCAGCACCATGAGCTTTATCTACAAACTTCTAAAGAAGTGGGAGACAAGGCTGGAGAGAGACGGGCCCATGGAAATCTTGGCAATGGCTATCATAGCCTTGGCGATTTTAAGAAGGCCATGGAGTGCCATGAGCGTCATCTATTAATCTCTAGAGAAGTGGGGGACAAAGCTGGAGAGGGACGGGCCTATGGAAAACTTGGCAATGGCTATCATAGCTTTGGCGATTTTAAGAAGGCCATGGAGTGCCATGAACGTCATCTATAAATCTTTAGAGAAGTGGGGGACAAAGCTGGAGAGGGACGGACCTATGGAGGTTTTGGTAATGACTAAATTGGGCTTGACGATTTTCAAGAGGCCATCGAACACCATAAGCGTCATCTAAAAATTTCTAAAAAAGTTGGAGAGAGAGCCGGAGAAGGACGGGCCTTTGGAAATCGTGGCAATGGCTATCATAGCCTTAGCGATTTTAAGCAGGCCTTGGAGCACCATGAGCGTTATCTAGAAATCTGTAGCAAAGTGGGAGACAAAGCTGGAGAGGGACAGGCCTATGGAAATCTTGGCAATGACTATGATAGACTTGCATGGCGATTAAAGAAGGCCATCGAGCACCACGAGCGTCATCTACACATTTCTAAGGAAGTGGGAGACAAAGCTATAGAGGGACGGGCCTATGCAAACCTTGGCATTGGCTATATTGCGCTTGGCGATTTTCAAAAGGTCATCGAGCACCACGAGCTTCATCTAGAAATTGCCAAAGAGGTGTGAGGCAAAGCTGGAGAGGGACGGGCCTATGGAAGTCTTGGCAATGGCTGTCATGGCCTTGGTGATTTTAAAAAGGCCATCGAACACCATGAGCGTCATCTAGAAATCGCTAAATTAAAGAGGTGGGAGACAAAGCTCGAGAGAGACTGGCCGATGGAAGTCTTGGCAATAGCTATATTGGGCTTGGCGATTTTTAAGAAGGCCATCGAGCACCATGAGCGTCATCTAGAAATTTCTAGAGAAGTAGAAGACAAAGCTGGAGAGGCATTATCATTAAATGACAGAGTTTTGAATATCATAAATTTTCTTTTAAAGCTATCAGTTTTTATAATTCCACTTTGACAAAGTATAACGAAGTCAGGGCTTACCTCCAGTCTAAGGACAAATGGAAGATTAGCTACAGTGACACCTACAATCTTACCTTTTGAAAATTGTGGCGTCTTTATTTAAGGCAAGGTCAGGTTCTCGATGCGACAGAGCTGAATAATGAGATGCTACGTCAGCGGGTATGCGGTCAACAACGCGGGCTCAAGTATCCTAGGTCTAAAATTTAGCGAAATTAGCGGAAAATAATAAGGGCTAACTTTTAAAACCGAGGAACTCTGTTTTCGTCGAAAGCACTTTCCTATTTCCATAGGTTTAAAGGAGAAAATTAATTTTTTAAAATTTTCAGGGGGTGTATCAAATATTTGGAAGTTATTCTGTAAAAGTAAAGCGGCAAGGAAAAACGACGCCTCGAAGCAACAGAATAGGAAATCAACCATGAGAAAGGACGGGCGCAAGCTATATGGGATCTCATGGAGGCAAAGAATTCGTTTAGAGAAGAAAACTTTGCTTGGTATTCCTCCTCCCTAAACTCAGCTGCTTTCAACCTTAGATCCATCCCAACGACAACAGTTTTTATAGCATCTAGTGAGCAAGAAATTGTCTTCTGGGTTATACACAGCGATAAGAACTGTCGACCTGAGAAGAAAAGAATTAAATGGCTGCGTTTCAGAAAAACAAGTCAGAGAATTCATCTCGACTCTATACTATAATGCTCTTGAAGAAATTGGTGTACGAACTGCCGTTAGTTGTGAAAATTGCTCACTTTATGAGAATGACAATCAGGGATTGACAACTGAAGGGGACCCTGGACAAGTGTCTCGCCGTGCTTCATCAAAGAGAAGCTTAGGGAAACTATATGAGGTCATCATTGCCCCTATTGCTAACCTGGTTCACGGAGATGATTTTATACTCGTACCCGAAGGTCCGTTTTGTTTGGTGCCCTTTGCTGCACTGGTTTACATGAATATGCAGTATTTGTCTGAAACGTTTAGGATTCGTGTGATTCCTTCCCTGACCACTTTGCAGTTGGTAACTGATTGTCCAGAAGACTTCCACAAAAAGAACGGCGCACTACTCGTGGGAGATCCGTGCTTAGAGGAAGTTCTTTTCAATGGGATCAAGTTGTGTCAGCTATCTTGTGCAAAGAAAGAGGAAGAAGTGATCGGGAAAATCCTCGATACCACCCCCCTCATTGGTAAAATGGCAACTAAAGATTAAGTTTAAAAGCGACTCTCCACAGTCGCTTTAGTGCAAATCGCCGAACATGGTGCGATGGGAACAGGAGAAATTGCCTTGGCGCCAGACCCTACTCGTGAAAATCACCAGCCTGAATTGAAAGACTTTTTCTAACAATGACAGATGTGTCAGAAGTTCCCATCTACGGGCAAGACTGGTTGTGATTAATTCCGTCCTCTTTGCCTTGTGGAAGATTAATGACGTGGCCACTTTCCAGTTCATGAAAAATTTCTATAAAGAACTAGTGAAAGGAATGAGGGTCAGTGAAGCTCTTGACCGAACCATGCAACGTATGAGAGAGTCCGAAACATTCAAGGATGTTAAGTACTGGACGCCCTTCATTCTCATTGGGGATAATGTCACGCTGCGACTGAACCGATCAGGCCAACGAGATGTAGATGCTTTTCAAAGTGAGTGAACATAAACTTTTTAATCCTGTTTTGCATATCACAAATATAGATTTAGCAATATTTAGACAACAAGCAGTTAATTAGTACCACACATTTTACAAATAATATATATAACCATAATTTTAATGAAATAAGTTTCGTTTGACCCTTAGATGAAAACGAAAGAAATATGATCCTCACACGCGAGCTGCAAGTTGAGCATTTACAGGAAAGAAGCCTCAGTAACAATGCAGGCCTCGACGGGATTCGATTGCGCGTTTCCAAGATGACAGTTTTGCGGATAAATGTTCGACTTGATCTGTTTGATCTATTAAATCTGTTTAATTTGTATAATCTGTACGATCTGCTTTGACTAAAAGGGAAAACAACCATCTGAATAAAGGAAACTAAATGAAATAAAACAAAGAAAAAAACGACGTACGAAATTTGTAAGCCTGATATAAACGAAAAAAA